AGGCTACAGAGAGAAACCCTGTCTCAAATAAATAAATAAATAAATTGCCAAATCGCCGTCAGCTGGGGTGGCGCAGCTGGGGCTTGCTTGTCTTGAGGATATAGTTCAACAGCGCATTACATGCTTAAGGATTCAAAGCCCCGGATTCAAGTTCTAGCACCAGGAAGGAAAGGGGGGGGGGGGCGGTGCCTGACTCCTGACCTCAGTGCTCAATGAACAAATCTTTCTTTGGCCTCCTAATAGTCACTAAGGCTAGTGGGCAACAACTCACAATGTCGCTTCTGTGAGATGGGTCAGCAAGCAGGTGAAAACACCTACCACCAAGCCTGACCAGTTCAGTGCCTGGAACCCACATGGTGGAAAGGCAGAGCCAGCTCCTGCAAGTTGTCCTCTGACCTCCGCACACATGCTGTGGCCCCTGGGCATACAAACATGATAGCATAATAATAACAAATGTAAGGGCTGGAGGGATGGCTCGGTAGTTAAGGGCACGGAATGCTCTTCCAGAGGACCTGCCTTCTACTCCCGGCACACACATAATGGCTCACAGCCATCTGCAACTCAAGCTTGGGTGTGAGGAGAGTGTGTAGCCTCTGCAGACACTGCACACACGTGATGCACAGACATCCACGCAGGCCAAACCCCCCATGCACGTAAAATAAAAGTAAAATAATAATCAACGTGTTTTATTTGTTAATGTCCCACCCTTACTTTCCCACCACCAACCACACAGCAATCAGAACCGGCACATTAGAGCCATCACAGCGACGTGTTTTCCCTCTCCGACCTGCACTGAGATCCTGGCTGACACTCATTAACGTGCACCTCGAACAAAAGACCCTCTCAGGATCTCCATTTCTTCATCTTCGGAATGAGACAGCTAGCCAGGAATATCAAGACGCGGCAATGATTAAAGAACTCCCTAATAAGGACGCTAATCCCCACAGGGCCCAGCACAAAGTGAAACTGGAACGTAGGGTGGAACCCATCTCTGCACTCCTCTAGCGTCCGGCCGAGTCTCGCACTCACTGGTGGCGTTGGACAGATGGTTGACACCTGGCTGCTCAAAGAAGAAACCCGGGTGAAGCTGGGGCCCTGGCACACTTACACTGTCTGGACGTCGGTGGCCAGCCCGGCCAGGCCTATGTAGAGCCTGTCACCCATGGGGAAGATCTTCTGGAAGTCCGTGGTCACCATCTGGGCCTGGATCCCGAAACGCCTGTCGGCAGCGATGGCCACACAGTTCTTTCCCTTCATGGCCATGACGGCCCCTCCATTATAGGACATAATAGACTGGGTGCAAACAAACCAAGGGATTCAGTTGGTGGAGCTACGTCCCAGGGCAGGCCCCGTCCCAGGCCCCAAAGCTCATATACACGGTGCCCTCCACTCCGGAGGCGGCTGGACGCCCGGAGTTCCAGCCCGGAGCTGGGCCCGGTGGGGCGCCCAGGAACGGCACGGTCCTCCGGTGCGCGTTCTATTGACCACCCGGCCCTCTGCGTCCATGCTTTCTACTCCCACCCCAGACCCCTACCGTTCACTCCCCAATCTCACCATGATTGCGCCGTAATAGGACTCCAATCGCCACTGCGGTGCCTGCAAACGGGCTCTGGCTCTCCCTGGGCCAACGCTCTCGCCGCGTCCTCCCCATTGGCTGGCGGGCCGACTCGGCCCGACGAGCTGAGCTTCCCATTGGACGTGCGTCCCGTCAATCACAAACATGCATAGTTTGGTTGAGACGCCGAAACGGAGGTATGGAAAGCGGAAAGTGAAAAGTCACCGTGAGTGCGGAAGAGCCCGCAGTGCGGGGCATGTCGGGATCTCGGCGGACTTGGACTCGGGACCGCCCCGCCTGGGGGCGGAGCCAGCAACAGGCGGGCTTGGGACGCGGCCTCGCGGCGCTGCTGCCGGATCCGTGTGGGTCATCGGGCGCGTTTTCCTCCGCCTGTCCGACCTCATGGGTCCATTCACAAATCCTTACAAGCCACCGTGTGGCGGGCAGGGCTGGCGCCGAGCATACCCAAGGTGCCCATCGATGGCAGAACGGGAAGCCGGCGCCCGAGGTTTCGTGCCGAGGGAGCTTAGCTGGGTTTTGGTTTCGCAGGGCCGGGGGTGGGGTGGGGTCGGGGTGGGGTCGGGGGGGGCAACAGGTTGTTCAGCGTTTGGAGCCCCTCACCCCCCCTCCCTGCAGGTCGACTGACGTGGCCCCAAGTCTCCGTCCACTCTACGGAGGGAACGTTCTATGCCACATCCAAGACCCTGACCTGGGAGAGCCTGGGCCAACCGCTCCAGGGCAACCCCGGCAGGACGTGCGCGCTCCTCGCCTTCCCCACTCGGCCCCGAAGTCCCGGTTCCCCCTTCGGGAACTGATTTCTTCTCGCTGGATTTTTAAGCAGCTATAACTGCTTGGTCTGCGGTGGCTCTTGCGTCACATGGCGCTCGTTCCTATTGACTCAGCTCTCTGCCTCGCCAACAGCAGTCGCCGTCTCTGTGGCGCAATCGGTTAGCGCGTTCGGCTGTTAACCGAAAGGTTGGTGGTTCGAGCCCACCCAGGGACGGTTCGAGGTTTTTGTTTTGTTTTGAGCGCGCCGTTCTCCTTTTAAAATCAAAGCCAATTTCGGTACTGAGATGCCGGAAGCAATGCTTGTGCTACACCAACCCAGAGGCTCGTTGTATTTAGAAATCTGTGATAGTCAGTGACGGGATTTCTCTCTAACGTTCATCGCCACCACATACTACCCTCTCCCAATCTGGATTACAGAAAAGACAGGTTTCGGTCTCACTGCCGTGTTTCACAATACATTTTCCCTTGGATTAAGAATGAATTTTGCTGTGGATGTTTGGACATCTTTCCATTGTCTGCTTTAGTGGACAGTGTAAATTTGAAAGAGGGCATCTGCCGCGGTGGAATCAGGGAAGAAACCGCAGGGACAAAGGGAGGGATAAAAGAGAAAGGTGAAAGAGAAGGCTGTGATCTACGGAGAAAGGCGTAAGAGGGAATTTAAGTAGACCTAAGTAGGGGAGCAGGGCAAGATTCCCTCCTCTGGAAAAAAGAGAGGCGCTGAGGAGTCTGGGGAAACATGCAGTGATCGCCAAAGGTCATGGTTTGTAGGAGGGAAAGGTGTAAAGGACAGAGGTAAAACTGCACCCAAGCAAGGAGGAACCACTATCCCCAACCATCGTCACCATTTTAAAGGGGATCTTATCCTTGCGTAGCTCCTAGTATCCGCTGGAAATAGTCCTTGCCTTGACTTCCTAGGTTCCTGCCCTCTGGGAACCTCTGTTTATGACTGATAGGGCTACAGGGCAGGGTAAGCTCCCGACATGGAGGAGGTACAGTCTCTTTACGTTTGCAGAGGTGCATTGCAGGAGGCGGGCAGGAAGCTCGACCTTCCTGGAGAAGACTGTGTGAGGGGCTCTTTCAATCAGTTCTCTAGGCATTTGGCTCAAAGGAAGTCTCTTCTCAACTCTCTCTCTCCGATGTTTGCACACTCAACGTGACAAGCCTAGAGGACCACCTGGCCTCAAACACCAATGGAGAAGGATCTTTTCAGGATTGCCCTCACCGGTCCTGCTTTATGTCAAAGCCCAGCCCACCTGCCGTGCCCATAGCAATAGTTTTATGCCAGGTGCCTGTAGGTGATTAATAGAATAAAGACTGAAAGACCAGAAAACTGGCGATGTTGGGAGAGTTGAGTCAGCGGTTCCCCTGATAAGCCAGAGGAGCGAGCCATATCCCAGCACAGATGATTTATTGGAGTTTTAGTGGGCAGTGCGTCTTCAGCGTGCTCCTACTCTCCAGCGGTTTGCTCAGGACTGGCACTTAATAGTTGTTTGAGGAGCAAATGGATTCCCACCCACAATAAGCAAGTTAGCCAGCCACAGCCCTTCCCGGGTGCCTGTGTTTGCTGGGACCGAGATTTCCACCCCTTCCGGAGTCTCTAGTTCGCGGCGGGGGGTGGGGGGGGTCTTCTAGTGAAAGAATGGCTGAGACGGGATCTCTGTTGCGGAACCCCTCATGCCGAGCACTTGTGTTCGCAGCGCTGAAGATGCCGCGGACACACTGGCCCTGATGACAGGGGGCGTGTCTAACTCGAGCCCCCTCTCCACAATAGCCCGCGAGCTCGTGGTACTCAGCTGGGAAGCAGGTGACCGGTCCTCCCGGGGCCTCTCCCGCTCTCTCTCGGACAACCCAGTCTAAGCGGAAATCTGCTGCCCTTCCCCTCCACCCTCATTCGGCTCGTTGGGGTCACCGGGCGGCCAGCGTCCACAGGGCTCCTGATAAGCCGGCCAGTGTATGAGAGCACTCAGTCTGGGGCCCCCAACTTCGGGGCTACTTTAGGGCTCGGGACGAGGAGAGGAGGCAGGGTTCGACCAAGATTCGTTCCCAACTCGATCCGACCCACCGTCCGGCCGATTAAAGGCATTTCAGGCCGGATGATCGAGCTCTTGGGAGGGACAGTCACAGTGGCCACTCCAATAAATCACAAGTAACGAATCAGCGAAATCGAGCGCCCTAATGAGGGCCCCACGGTTCTTGTGGCAACGCAGAATCGATTCGCTTCCTCGGCGCCGTCTCTTCTACCTCTCCTTCCCACCCTGGCCGGGGCCGGGGCCGGGGCCGCTGGGGACCGGAGCGCGAGCGCTGGCTGGAGCCGAGGAAGACCACTGGAGGGGGCTGGCTCCGGCTCCGCGGAGGCGAGGGAGGCGCACCGGCGGCGAAAAGGCGCGCGTCCCCTCTCGGCTCCTCGCTTCCTACGGCGCCCGGGGCCTCCCTCTCGAATTCGCCTCGTTATTGTGTGTCTGGCCCGGCGCCCGAGTTCGCGTCTCGGTCTGCTCTCCCCGCCCCGGACTGCGTTCCATTCTTCTCCGCCCGAGCACGCAGGAGTGCGCGCCAGCCTCGGCCACAGCCAAGCCCCGCGGCGGCCACCGTGCGCTTCCCCGCGAGGTGCGACGTCCCCGAGCCGGCGGGGGGGGGTGGGGGCGGGGAGGGCACGCTCCGGGGCACACACGCACTCGGCAATCTCCAGGGAATGCCAGCCGGAGTGGGCGAACCCTCCCTCGGACCCGTGGCCCGCGGCGGCGCCGCGTCCCCCGCCAAGCGCCATTCGGTGGCGGCGAGACCCATTTCCGCCCAGTCTGCATCTCACCATTTTCCAAGCTCCCCAGCTAGGGTAGGAGGGATCGCAGGGTCGGGGGGAGAGGGCACACACTTATTTTAGGAGGAGGAGGAGGGCTCACGACGGGAGGTAACACGGCAGGACCTCTCCTCCGCGTCCAAGGGATCGATTTAGCTAAGAGGTGGGCTCGCCTCGGCTTGGGGGAAGCCCCGCGCGAAGCCGTGGGGAGCAGCCGAGCTAGCCTCACCCCCTCCTCTTTCCCTCTCTGCAAACATCCTGAAGGAATGAGGTCACGTGGGTGAGTAGTGGGCGGGACCTACTCTTGTCTGGAGGAAAAAAGCCATTTTGTCGTCCCCCCCCGCGGCCCCTCCCCTCCCCTCTCGTCCCCTCCCCTCCCCACTTTCCCTCCCACCCCAAGCTGCTCTTACAAACTCCTTTCTTACCATAGGGTTCTCCCCTCCCGCCGACCGAGCGAGCGACAGGGCTGTGGCCCCCCTCCCCTCCCTTCCCCCCCTTCCTCCCATCCCCCCCTCCCCGAGACCCACCGGACCCCGAAGCCAGGTAAGCGGACGCCGACTCGCGCTCGCCTCCTTGCTAACCCCGTAAGCGTCTGGGGCTGGCGACCGGGGCCCGTTCGTTCACCTTTCCCCGCAGACCCCAGTGAGAGCCGGGAGCCCCGGCCTGGCCTGCCACTCGCGTCCCCTTCCCGCCCCGCCAGCCGCTGTCCAAGCTCGCCCGGCCCGCCGGCTCTCTTTCTCCCTTTCCCGGTCCCCCTCTCTCTCTCTCTCTCTTTCTCCCCTTTCCTCCCTTCCAAGATGGCCGAAGTGCATTCCCCCTCTTAACGATTTGGCGTCTCCCTCGACCACCTCCTCTTTGTGCGGCAGCCCCCCCGCTAAGACCCTGCTTGCGAGGTATCGAGGGGGAGGGTCCGGGCGGCCACGAGGGCTTTGGGGACACCCGCCAGGGTGAGTCTCGTCCCCCCCCACCACCCCAGTGTCTCCACAAGCTGGGGCAGACTGTGGCTCCAGCCGATCAGCCCCCCTTCGAGTCGGGCAAGGGTCGCCTCTCGAGGGGGCAGCGGACGTGGTAGGCGCGCGAGGATTTGAGGCCCGGAGGAAGGGGACTTGGCTTTCTGGTGGCTGCGAGGCCGGGGGAGGGCGCCCTAACTCTTGGGGTCCGGATCTTGGGCACCTCCCCCAGAGGTTCCTTTCGTCCCGGTGCGAGGCGCCCCGCCCCCTCCCTGAACCACCTCGGTGGAGCTTTTCCCCTACGTCCCTCCTGGGGCCCCACCAAAGTTTGGCTCTAGGGAAGGAGGGAGTGGCCAGTCGGTCGCTGGGGTGCCTGATCCCTTTGACCTGGGCTCGGGGGTGGCACAGGTGGAGGGGGTGGAATGGAAGCGAGGGGAGATTGTGCGGACTCTATCCTCTCATCAGGAGTGGCCAGGGGTTCTGATGAGCTGGCCCTTCTGCCGCCGGGGTCGAAAGGGGAGGCGGCTCCTCGTTCCTCCCTGGGCCCTGCCGCTGCTAGCTCTGAGAGCTGGGGAACCCTGGGCCTGCAGACAGCCCGCGCCCTATCTGTCTCCAGGGGCGTCTAGGCAAGCCCCCTGCTCCACCTCTCCCCATTCCCCACCTCCACCCGAAATTGCTCTGGTTGGCTTGAGCGAGGATGAGGGTATGTATGTGTGAATTTAAATGCTTAAGTACGTACAGGTGTTACCTCGAATTTTCCCTGCGTCTTTGTCTCTCGTAGCCCCCAACCTTGCTCCCGCCATCCCCCATGCTGCCTCGTCTCTCTTGGTCTCCCTGTCGCCGAGGGAGGGGCTTTTTTTTTTTTTTTTACCCCCTCTCACAGTCCTGGGCCTCCCGCTCTGGACAGTTGTGCTGTTCCCGAAACTCCTGACGCCCCCCCCCCCCCCCACACGCAAACATCCCTGCGTCAAGGTGTTATTACTGTAATCGGAGAAGCATAAAGCCAGCTCTGTTTCAGGGCTTTGGTGGAGAGGTTTTCCCAGGGGTTCCCCTGGTTTGAGGTTGGGGCTTGCACACTTAGAACTGTGTTTGGAATGAGGCAGGAAACAGGCAGACTCCAGAATCCAGTCCGGCTGTCCCCTGATCCTGTTCAAGAGTTGGAAGTGTTGGGAGGTGAGGGGGTGGGGCAGGGAAAGTGACTCCCTGAGTGATCTCGGTTGATGGAGCTGTTGTCACGGGAATGGAGAGAGCCTGAAGTGGAAGAGGTTACACATTATATAGGTCAGATGCTAACTGTAGCCTTCCACCCTCTGGCCCCAGAGTGGAGTCGGGGCCTGAACTGCCTTTGTTGCTGGAAGACTTAAATTATCATTTACCCTGAGAGGACCATGGGTTCATAGGAGGTTAATGTCGGGGGCTCTGGTTTCAGGCAGCGATGTGTTGGGGCGGGTGGGAATGGTTTCTACATCTGTGGAGTGGAAGCCTGGCTCCAGGCTTGCTGTGTATGAGGCGGTGTGTGTGTGTCTGGCCAAGTGTCTGTCTGGCTTGTGTGTGACTGCGATTATCTGGCCCTGGGTGCCGCGAGTGTAAGAGATGGAGGGGGTGTGTCTGGCTTGGGCTGTGTGTTTCTTGCCCCGTTCATTCTTTGTTTGGTGGTTATTATTTTTTTATTTTGTCTTCGGGAACTGAGTGGTAGGTAGGGGAGGCTTCCAGCCTTTTTCCATACTAAGGGCTGTACCGCTGTCAAAGGTTAGGAAAGGACGAGAGATTCAGGGTTCCCTAGGGCAGAACCCTCTGGCCTGTAACACGTGAGGTTTGCCTAGTTGGGTCAGAAAGTCCTGTCTGTCTACACACTGTGCTCTGGCTCTCATTCGCGGTGCCTCAGTTTCCCCATCTATCCTGTGGAGGAGGTATAAAGCATCAATTAGCTTCTGCCTCCCTTTCAGCAGGCCCCACAGTACGGGCTTCCTGCCCTTCTGCGGTCCACCCTTCCACCCACAGCTCAGCTCTTCAGCTGAGTAAGGAGAGCCACCTGGGTGTCAGTGTGTCACTTTAACATTAGAACAGGAGGCAGGCAGGCACTTGTCAGAGCTTCGACGGCTTCTCTGAGTGACCTTGGACAAGTCACATCCGAAGGTTTCCGTCTGTAAAATGAGAAGGCTGCCCCGCGCACTTTCAAAGATCACATCCACCTCGGCCAGGATGTGACCTTGAATGACCTCTCTCAAGGCCTGGGGCTTGATTTGATTTGGTGCACAGGCAAGGCAGAGAGGGCTATAGCTGGTGTCCCTGGTAGTGGCGGGCCCCTCTGCGGTGTCCGAGACCCAACACCTACAGGAGAAGAGGAAGTCTGGCTCATGGGAGAGATGTGAGATGTCTGTGAGCTGTGGGATGGGAGCGTGGGGAGAGACAGATGAGCTCAAATGGCAAGGGACTGGATGCTAGGTATTGACCAAGCCCCTTTCCTGCCTGGAGCCCCTGGGAGCCAGGAGCTAGAGCCAGAGAAAACAGAAACCAGGACTTCAGTGAAGACTTGGGACCAGGGGATGTAGCTGACCCCACTGAGGTCAGTTCTAAATGGCCTCGGCCCCCTTTCTGCCTCTTAGGACCTGTGTCTTTCACTTTTTCTTCCACGGGTCTTTCTTTGTCTCTTCCAGCTGTCCCCTCCTTAGTGAAGTGCTACATCCTTCCTTTCCCTTCTCTCCCCCCCATCCTCTCCCCTCCCCAGCACCACAGCCCCCAGCATCAGGGAGGAAGGAACACAGGTCCTGATCCCGGGCAGGGAGATGGGGAGGGGATGCTCAGGGGACTGGGAGCTCCTGTTTACTGCCACTCTTGGCACCTGCTGACAAGGCCCTGCAGGTAACCATGGCAATCAGGTGAGGAGCCAATCAGTGCTTCTCCCCACCCCCCAGCCCCAGCAGTGGTTCTCTGAGGCCCCTAGGGATGAGGATGGGTAACCGGGAGGCTCTCTGCCCCCAGAGGATCCATAGCATCTTCTTCCCTTACTGCCCTGAGCTTAGAAAGGGACCTGGGGGCTGCTTTTGTACGACACCCCCCAAAAACCATGGACTGAGCGGAGCTTCCTGTATCTATTTGCAAATGAAGAGTGTGAGCAGAGTAGCCAAGGCAGTGATGTGCACATGTATTCATTCGCGTGTGTATTGCATGTGTGCCCTGTGTCGAGAGGATTTACCCTAGCAGCCTGGATTCCGCGGCGGGATCCTGTTCTAGTACAGTTTGCTTCTGTCTCTGTGTGTCTCTGGACACAGACACACACGAGGCAAGCGGCCCCACGAAGCACCTTTGGAAGCCTAGACTGCACGTACACTCGGTGGCTATTCCACCCGCTCAGAGAGACCGCCGCTTGGAGTTTGTTCTATCCTCTGTCTGGATGGTTGTAATAATATTTGGGCTCCTTGCCAGAGACTGTGTTACCATGGAAACAACTAAACAGTAGAGTAGCCAGCAGCCTCTTTGAAATTGTGAAGGAGGACCAGCTAAGGCCACATACAGGGCAGGAACTCTCCCGGCCAGGTTTGAAGGTCAGGGGTGGCCGCCACATAGCCCGGTCTCTGGGCCATGTCTGGCTGGCTTGTTCATCTCTTCTCTGAGACTTGGTGTCTGTCTCAAGTGTGGCCTTTGTGTCTCTCCATCTATCCCAGCTCCTGGCCAGGTGCCCTGGGCCTTTATTGGCTGTCTGGGTCCTGGCCAGGCTCATCCTGGGGTCTCTATAGAAACTGCTGATCCTGGCTGTGAATTTCTTGTCCTAGAAAACCCTGTGTGGTGGCTTTAGAAATCCTTCTGGAAAAGAGAAAACGGTATGTGTTGTAAAGGAGCATTTGGGGCTTGGCCAGCCCCTCAAGGCTCCTGGACTCTTGTTCTGGGAGAGAGAAGAGAGATCAGCCCCCTTCAGTCCAGCACCAGAGCTGGCTTTGAACTGACCTAGGTCTAGTAGGACCTGGTCAGATGCTGGGAACAGAGAACACTGCCTGGTTTGCCTAGGGGAGCCTGTGGTTTGTTGATAGACGGCTTGTCAACGGGTGACAAAGGTCGCCAGGTTGGCACATGTGGGATCAGGGGGGAACATGAAGCAATTCTGTATGTTCAGGAAAGGAAGTTCCTAGACCATGCACATTGAAGAGGCCATTGGGAGACCAGGTGTCAGCATCGGGCAGTTCCCGCCACAGGACAGTAAAAGTTTTCCTTCCTTCCTTCCTTCCTTCCTTCCTTCCTTCCTTCTCCTCTTTTTTTTTTTTTTTTTTTTTTTTTTTTTTTGTCAGGCCCTTGGACTACCTGTGGAGTCCAGTGCCAAGCTGGGCCTGCAGCCTCTTCTTTATGACTTAGGACATACAAAAACAAGCCTCAGGTTTGGCCAGGTTTGGTGGTAGGCCACTGTCCTACTGTCTTGTAGGAAGGTCCCCCCATGAAGAATTTCTTATCGGTGGAGCTGCGGTCATTGATTCTTCATTTTGGTCTAGGAGTTGAGGTGTCTGGACTGTTTTTCATAGTTCTTACCAAGTGGTAAATATTTGACCACTTGAATGGATACGGGTTGGAATCAGGAATGCTGCTTTTTTTATTATGTTTATTTTCTGTGTGTGTGTGTGTGTGTGTGTGTGTGTGTATACATTTGTATGCAAGGAGTCAAAGGACAACTTGCAGGCATTGCTCTCTTCTCTCCTTCCACCACATGGGTCACCAGGTTTGGCTGGACCTTTCCCTGCTAAGTTCTCTCACAGGCCCACAGGTCCCAGAGAGAACTTTAAAGGGCCTTGCCCTTTCCTGCCCTCCCATATCCATCTTCAAGAGTCGAGTAGTGCTTCTTACGGTCTGCCTTCGGCCTTCCCCACTGCTTCCGAGATGGCCTATGACCTTGTCTGTCAAGGCTGCAGAAGCCTCTTGAGTCCCCAACACCCAGCGAACACTGAGAGGGAGGGCCACAGGCAGCCAGCCTCAAATAAGTACCCAGTTCCACATCTGAAACAGAAGGAAAAGGGGGCTTTGGGCTCAGGGGGGTAGCAGTGTGGGGAGGCGGCTGAGGGTGGCTGGGTTTCTGATCCCATTTCTGTTTCCCAGGCTGACACTCCCCACGTCTCCTCAGGCCTGACCCGGCATCATGCATCGGACCACCCGGATTAAAATCACGGAGCTCAACCCTCACCTCATGTGTGCCCTCTGTGGGGGCTATTTCATCGACGCCACCACCATCGTGGAGTGCTTACATTCCTGTGAGTTGGGTACGGGGGATGTTCCGCTTGGGGACACTGCCTAGGGAAGCTAGAAGACAATCCCTCACTGCCCTGGAGGGTGGATCACTGTGGCACTGACAAGAAGGGACAGGTGTTGGGGGGGTAGTCCTGGGCCCAGACGCTCATTCCGGGGACAGCATCAGAAACCCCCCCCCCCACTTTCTCTGCTATTTCTGGATGAAGTCTGACCCCTGTAGATTCAGGAGCCACTCATTTTCCATGTCAGGTTGGTTACAAGAGCCCGGGGACTAGGAGCACCTTGTGTGTTAGGTAGGACACCATCCTGTTAGAGCTACAGGCACTTCCTCCCCTAAGGCTGGCCAAGGCACAACAGCCCAGATGTGTGCGTTCACGTTGCCACGTTGGGGCCTGGGCGCAGTCCTGAGCTACTGGGTCATGGTGTGAAGAGAAGGCTGACTGTAAGGCTGACAGGCCTGGGCAGGGTCTCTGACTGTCCTCTCTCTGTCCACACTCCCCAAGTCTGCAAAACCTGCATCGTGCGCTACTTGGAGACCAACAAATACTGCCCCATGTGTGATGTCCAGGTCCATAAAACGCGACCACTGCTGAGCATCAGGTGGGTTTCTGTCCCCTTACCCTGCCTCCCAGCAGCTTCCAGCTTGACATAAGCTAAGAAACGCCAGCCTGGGAACCTGCATGCCTGGGTGTTGGGCCTGAAGAAGGGGTACAGAGCCGATCCCTGTAGAGAGATGAAGGTACCGTGGCTGCTAACGTTCGCATACGTTCTTTCCTAGATCAGACAAAACCCTCCAGGACATTGTCTACAAGCTGGTGCCTGGGCTTTTTAAAGGTATATCACGACCCCCCCGTGTTGTCCTGCCCGCTCCCCCTCCACCCCCACTGCGTTTCCCAGCTGTTGCCCGCTCATCCCTGCCTCCTTCCTTTAGATGAGATGAAGCGGCGACGAGACTTCTACGCGGCCTACCCCCTGACAGAGGGTGAGTGTGTCTGCTCTAAACCCACAAGCATGTTGCCGAGTGCCCAGGGCTGCCACAGCTGTGTGGGTTGAGTGTCACCAGCTCTGGCCCCCACCGGCCCTGGCACCTCCAATGGGCCTCGACAGCTGCCAGACAGTGCTGTCCAGAAGATACAGGGCTTGGCCTCTGAGCCACCCACCCCCCGATTCCCTAGGTCCTCAGTCCCTTGCTCTCTCTTTGACCAACCCCTCTGAGCTGTCTCCCTCTGCAGTCCCCAACGGCTCCAACGAGGACCGAGGCGAGGTCCTAGAGCAGGAGAAGGGAGTTCTGGGCGATGATGAGATTGTCAGTCTTTCCATCGAGTTCTACGAAGGAGTCAGGCAAGTTGGACCGAGGCCTGTTCTCTCACCCTGGCCCATGCTCCAAGACCCCGTCAGGTGAGCACACCTGATCCAGCAACCCCGAGATCTTCAACTTCTTCTTACCTCTTCCTCCAGGGACCGAGAGGAGAAGAAGAGCCTCGTGGAAAACGGGGATGGGGACAAGGAGAAGGTGAGTCTCGGGTCCTGGCCAGGAGTGAGCTGTGGGCTGAGAGAGAGTGCAGTGGGACGGGCCTCCTCACCAGTACCTCTTCCTCCGCAGACGGGGGTTCGATTCCTTCGATGCCCGGCAGCCATGACCGTTATGCACCTCGCCAAGTTCCTCCGCAACAAAATGGATGTGCCCAGCAAGTATAAGGTGAATGAATGAATGCCTGTGCCATCCCAGATGTCGAAGTCTGTCAAGGTGTCTGATCGGCAGGCATCCCAGCCATCACATAGTTAGTTACACGGCTGGGCCTGCAGGAACTGGGGTCACCTAGGCCAGCTGCTTAGGAGGACCAGGGAGGTGTGCATGCAGAGAATACCAGGCCTTCGATGGAGCCCGGGAATTCTGGGGCACAGACTGGTAAACCCCATGGAACACAGGATCCCTTGGTGGGCCCTGATGTGCCTGAGCCTGCTTCTTTGACAGGCTGCGTGAAGGCTTCCTAGCCTACGCTTGGGTACCAAGACAGTAAGCCTAGTTGCAGTGACCAGCCAGCTCGGGGGCACAGATGGTGGTATCAAAAGCTGCTTCTGAGGTTCCCTCAGAGGCCCGGGCGAGCGCCTGGGTCTCCAGGAGACCAAAAGAGAAGCCGCCCCTCTCCCCATCAGCGGTGTGGGGACTTGGGACAGTTCTGGAGGTCACACCTACAGTAAGGAAAGGCCCCCTGCAGTCCAGTCACCTCCAACCCCCAAGACTCCCAGGCCTGGCGGCCGGGGGTGCAGCTGCCGGGCCCCATGGTATCACTCCATGCCTCCAGGTGGAGATTCTCTATGAAGACGAACCCCTGAAGGAATACTACACCCTCATGGACATCGCCTACATCTACCCCTGGCGGAGGGTGAGTCTGTGAGTGGGTGGCACAGGGTGGGGGGCAGTCCAAGGCCCTCCTGGACCACGATGACACGGGACGCCCTCTTAGGTCAGCTCTAAGCCATTCCCCACCCCGAGACAGGGTCTCCTGCCTCAGCCTTCCAGGTGTTGAGATTGCTGACCTACCTATCTACCACATGTCTTGCTGATAGCCTGGTTATCACCACCCAGATTTGGGGTTAGTTGGCCACAGTGGGGTGTGGCCCCTTCGGTCTTCCATGGTCTTCCTCCCGTTCACACACCCGCCCCAGTCTCTTTTAACTGGGCCTGTCTCCCTGTGGCTCTTCACTCCGCAGGGCCTCTCCTTCCAGGCTCAGATTTTCCCCTTGCTCCCGTTTGGGTCCTGGTTGAGTGTAGGGATGAGGATGGGGGGGTGGGAGGGCTGGTTGGTCTGTCTCCTGACGCCCTCTTTTCTCACCGCTGCCGCTGGCCTCTTCCTTCTCACCACAGAATGGGCCTCTCCCCCTCAAGTACCGTGTCCAGCCAGCCTGCAAGCGGCTCACTCTGCCCACGGTGCCCACCCCCTCTGAGGGCACCAACACCAGCGGGGCATCAGAGTGTGAGTCAGTCAGCGACAAGGCTCCCAGCCCTGCCACCCTTCCGGCCACCTCCTCCTCCTTGCCCAGCCCTGCGACCCCATCCCATGGCTCTCCCAGCTCCCACGGCCCCCCAGCCACCCACCCTACCTCCCCCACTCCACCTTCAACTGCCGGTGGGACCACGCCAGCCACCAATGGGGGCACTTCGAACTGCCTGCAAACGCCATCCTCCACCAGCAGGGGGCGCAAGATGACTGTTAACGGAGCGCCTTGCCCCCCTTAACTTGAGGAAAGGGATCCTCTCCTTCAGCAGCCACCTTTCCCCTCCTTTTTACTTTTTCTGGGCCCCCTTTTTCCACCTTTGACTTTCCCTGGCTCCTCCCATCTTCAGAGTGGGAGGTGGGTTTTATAAATAAATCTATCTATCTATATAAATATATATATGTACATAGGAAAAACCAAATATACATACTTATTTTCTATGGACCAACCAGATTAATTTAAATGCCACAGGAAACAAACTCTGTGTGTGTGAGTGTGTGTGTTTGTGTGTGTGTGTTGGGGTGTTAGGGTCCAGGGGTCTTCTGTAGGTTGCTCTGCTCTTCTGGGGTTACCTGGTAGTCTTAGGGGGGGACATTGGAAGTACTAATGCCCTCTATGTGTCCCTTCCACCTCCCTGGGGCAGAAGGCATGTCGCGTCCTCTTAGCCCTAGCTGACTAGATACGGGATCCATCTCGACTGCTCCCTGCCCCTGTCCAAGCCCCCCATTACTGAATGTCCGGAGACTTGCTAAGACAGTGCCTTTTACAAGTGCAGTTTGTCCTCTGCCTGTGAGGATCAAGAGGCCTTGGAGAAGGCATTTCCCTTACCTCCTCAGATAGTGGAAACCTTGTGCAAAGACTAGACAGTTCTGCCTTTCCCCCGTTCCCTTCTTCTTCCCCCTTCCCCGCCACGGGTGGCCTTTGCATCCTTTACCTTATGGAAGAGAAGAGTCCAGCTATGGAGAGCCCCCAGGCCTGCGAAGTCCTTGTGTGACTTTGGCATTGTGAACACTTCATTTCCTCCTGCCCCTACCTACCGTGACCCAGGAACCCACACTAACAGGACTGGGGGAGGGAGGGTCCTAGAGTGGAGAGTTGGGAGGCAGGAGGAAACCCCAGGCAAGCACAGACTCCAGCTCCGCCAAAAAGCCACCAGCCTTCCTCGTCCCCAGCTGAGGCCGGGCAGGGACAGGACAGAGGCACCAGAAGCACAAGGAAATAAAAGTGTAGGCCAACCCCAGTTCTGCCCAGTGGACCACCTTATTAGGGCAGACCTCGCCCGCCTGGTTTTCCTCAAGTGTACATAGCTCTAGGGGGAGGGGGGAGGACGCCAGGGTATGTGAGGTTCTGAGCCCATGGGGGGGTCTATTTGCACCATGTCCTGAGTCTGAGGTCCTGCGACTGTACCCTCCTGTCCCGGGTCATTTGTATCTCTTGGCTTTGTAATAAACACTGCATACTCTCTTGAGCCTGTGGTTCTTTGGGGCAGAGGGAGGAGAGGGCTGAGGGCTCCCAAGCCTTACCGTGCCAGCTGGAGCGCATCTAAACCGTCCCACCTTTGGACACCAGATACCTGCCAGTGACCACAGGGACAGGTAGAGGATGGGCCTCATAGTTTAATGACAGCTTTGCCAGGTACTGAAGCAGGGCCTGTTCCCAGCTGCCCAACAGGAAAATGCAGGGTTTTTCAGGAAACGGTCGCTGACAAAAACAGCCGTGATCTGTCGCTCAGCCCCACTGCCTTCACAGAAGGGAAGCCTGTGGGAGGCCAGGGGCCACAGGAGCCCTCAGAGTGGGGAGCCCACTTCTGCCTTCTGCACCTGCTCGCTCTTGTGGGTGCCATCGCAGTACGGGGGTCGCTGAGTGGCCTTGCAGGTACATAGGGACACTGTCCGGGTCTCTTGGGCCTTGAACTTGAGTGGGGAGAGGCCGGTGCGCTGGAAGAAGTGGGAGCCATCACAGAAGGGCTGGTGAAGAAAGAGAAGTCAGAACGGGGTGGGAGGAGGGCTGATGTGGCAATCCTTTTCCCCAGCCCTGCAATGTGTGTGTGTGGGGGTCACAGGAAGGTTATCATGAGGGAAATAATGTCACTGCAGTGTTACTTCTCATTGTTCACCTTTGGGAGACCTAGAAGGCCAGGGCAATTTTCAAGGGGAACTGAAAACACTAGAGGCAATGTTCATGCCTAACGCTAAAGGGTTTCTCTGTGTGGCCGTGGCTGTCCTGGAACTCGATTTGTAGACCAGGCTGGCCTTGAACTCACAGAGATCTGCCTGCCTCTGCCTCCCGAGTGCTGAGATCAAAGGCATGAGCCACCACTGCCAGACAGATCGAGGCTTTCTGTTGTTTGACTTTTTAAGTTTAGTGTGTATGCACACACACACACACACACAAGTCATAGAACAGCCTATGGGGAGCTGCTTTTCTCCTTTCACCGTGCACGCCCTGGGGATCACAAGTCAGTGAGGTTGTGTGGCAAGAGCCTTTACCCAGGCAGCATCTTGTCAGCCAAGTCCTCATCTGACCCAGGCCTACCTTGAACTCCTAGCCTTCTGCCTCCACCTTCCAAGTGCTAGAACTCCGGATGTGTGTCACCACGCCCTGTTTATTCAGTGCTGGGGATAGACTAAAAGTTCCATCCACTGAGCCATAGCTCCTCCCTCACCCTCGGTTTTTGTTTCTGGTAGTTTTATTTGTTTTGTTTTGTTTTGTTTTTTAATAGCTTGAGTGAATCCCCATTGGCTCATGGCAGTGGGAAAGAGCCCGGCACCCCAGTGCCTTTCCAGGGTGGGGTCAGGCTTGCCTGGCTCCGGGAAGCAACAGGCAAGGGGCTGTCTGCAACCACCTGGCTGCCTGGAGCGGTATTGTTAATGTAAGCACCATGTCTCTCTCGAGAATCCTTCAGAGCAGAGGATGATGGAGACCGGGGCCCAAAGAGGGGAGGCCTTGTTTGGGGCAGAGTTGGAAGAGAGGAGTCTACTGGCCCAAAACAGCACTCTGCCCAGAGGGCACGGAGCGCACATGAGCACCTACGGCCGGCTGGCATGCCCTTGAAACAGCCCCACCCTCTGGAATATCTGTTCAAAGGCCACAACAGAGTCAGCCTCGGGACCTGGGTTTCTCTTGCCAACCACACGGCATGGGGAACAGCAAAGGGTTCTCCAGAAGGAAAGAGGGGCAAGGCTCCTGTTACAGGGCGGGCTCCTGAATGGCTGGGGTGGCCTCCGAGGGCAGCGGGCAAACAGGAAAATCCACATCCCAGGTGAAAAGAGAGGACGAGAAAAGACCCGGGGAGGAACATTAGGGAAGACTGGGTAGAATCTTTCCTGCGGTGAGGTCCAAGGCCTGGCACATGGGCAGAGGATGCTGCCTGCAGGGAGGAAGGAGAGGACAGACACACCGGTCCTTGGTGCCCTGAGGTGCATGACGGAGAAGGGAGTGCAAGAAATGGAGCCAGCTACCGTGCGGTTATTTGCAGTGGGTCTTGGCAGTTGCTGAGGGACCACCTTCCACTTCTCGGGAGGCCCAACCCTGCTTAGCCTCTAGGGATGAGGCTTGTTCAGGGCCCTGTGACTACGGAACAGTGTCACAGCTAAGTGAGGGGCAACAGGAATAACTTACCTGACTCTTGCTTCGTCCACACACACACCATCTGTAGGTTTTCCCGGCAACCAGCTCCAACTTGATAGGTGTTTTCTGAGCCACCACGGGCTTTGCTGCTTCTTTGGGGAACCATCGGGCCTACGGCCAGGGAAGATGAAGGGCTCACGGTCATCCCAAGCCTTGGAAGTACCTTAAGTCGGGGTTCGGTTACTTTCTTCAAACCCAAGGTGCTGGCCTATCAGGTAGCTGTCCGTGCCTCATCCCAGAAGCCTGGCTCCTCGCCTTCAGGTCTACCAAACTTTCCTTAGAGCCTGCTAGGAACAGGGGTGTCCCTGTCGCTGCTGTCTTTGATGTAGCTCTTGAGGTCTAGGGAGTTGATGGGACTTGTGTGATGAGAGAAGGAAGTGAGCTGTACTCACCAACCAAGAGGAGATTTCCCGCCTCTGGCACAGCTTGGAAGAGGCAGACAGGCAGATGTGATTTGGAAACAGAAAAATAAAATCAGTGGAGAAGGGAAGACGACGGAAGCCCATCAGGGAAAAAAAAAAGACCACAGGCCAAGGGGGCGTGGGAGCAAGAACAGGGTTGGGGAAAGGGTCACGGAAGAGGCCTGGCGGATCTTGGCATCCACTTGGGGCCCACTCCCTCAGGAAAAAGACTGCCCGGAGGGGACGCACGGCCAAGGGGTGGAGTCTGACCTCGGGGAGGCGGGGCCAAACGGCTCAGGGTCATCAAAGAGGGGACGCTCACCCTGACACCGCGCATGACCAGAGCGTGCAGACTCGTGCCCACGCCGCGCATGACCGTCGCGCCGCGTCCGGATCACCGCCCTCTCCGCTCCGCCCCCGGCCCGCCCCCCGGAAGACACTGCCCAGCCCCGCGCAGGAGGGGCCGGACCGAGCAGCCCCGGAGCCCGCAGGTGCCGCCCTGGCCCTGCAAAGTGGAAGGCCCTGTGTTTTCACAGCACACGCAGTGTGGGGCTATCTCCCCCAGCAGGGCTCGGGTGTCTGCATCTTCAACTGCACCGAACGTTCTCCACATTCCAATCTGAACTACTCTTGAAAAGGGGGTCGCTGACCATACCCTGACCTCCTCCCACAGGCCTCCACAGCTGGCAGCCCACCTCCCTCCCTTCAATGAAAGCAGACAAAGCAAGGTCTCTTTGGATTTTTTTTTTTTTTCTTAGTAAAACATTCTTTTATTAAAAGAACAAGTGCTGTTTTTACGAACTGCCCTTCGTACAAATAACATCCGTTATACAAAGATACAAGACCCAGGCTATGCACAATTCCAGGCTTGGAGGTCGCGGGGGAACACTGCCTCGTGGGCTGAGGATATAAAGGTTTCAGAAAGAATGAAAAATGAGGCCCTGGGTTTGCGATCTGTGGCTTCCCTTCCTTGCTCCCCTAGGAAGGGTCTGCTACATGGAAACAGGCTGGGATGGAAGGAAGGGAGCCAGAGTTCGGGTCTTCAGTCCCTAATGGGGCTGGAGAAAGTGAACACAGGAGAGTGAGGGCAGCCCTCAGTCCCCAGCTCTTCAGTAGGTCAAGACAAGGTGGGAATGAGACATACCAGGAACCCAGGAAGAAGTAACTGCAAGGAGCGGAGGGGCTCCCCGGCCCTGCCTTCCTCCAGGATCTGGGTTACGTTACCTCCAACCTATTGGGCACCTCTCCCTAGGAACCAGCTATTATTCCCTGTGGCCCACGGCACTCTTAAGGATGATGGAAACTGGAACGGGGAGTCTGTCTTTGAAAACCTGTCAGCATTTCCAGTCTGCGAAAGGAAAATGTGAATGCTAGCCTTTCTTTGGGCTCCCCTCTTTTCTAGGCCCTTCCTAGGAGTCTAGGGTGGGCATTCCCTGGGTCTCAACCCAGGAAAGGGAACGGGTCACCAGCCTCAAGATCAGGCTACCTAGGGGCAGCAGTAGACCAAGGAGCCTAAGGGGGACACCCACAAGCTGGGATGAAGGAGAGGGGAAGAGAGATACAACTCATTCTTTTTTAAAGGCAACCCTTAAAGTGTCATTGTCTATGGAGAGGGTTCATCAGCTCAGGGCTAAGACAGTGCTACATAGATACCTTCTCACCACAGTCATGACCCTACACTCACAACCCTACACTCCAAACCACGCCGCCACCACACACACACACACACACACACACACACCGCACACACAGGGACAGCCAGACAACCAGCTGCAGCTAAAAGGCTGGGCAGTGGGACAGGAATGTCCAGAGGCCGGGAACTGAGGCTCATCACTGCTGTCACTGAGTACCTGTCCCTCCTAGGTTTAGAGCAGTCACCTGTAAAGCCAGCTCCAATGACCCCTAAATACAGCTGAGTAGCCATGACCCCCCTACATCTCTCGGTGGGCACAAGCAAAGCATGCGTTACTTACTCACTCATCTCTTCTGAGGGTGGTGACATTAAGATTCACTCATGCATTCTTAGACTCCATTTCCGCTCTGCAAACCACATCCTCCCCCTCCCAGACAGAGATGGCCCCAAATCTGCATCCTTCCCCTCACTCTACCAAGCTATCAAAAAACACACCAATGGCACACACCTTTAATCCCAGCACTCAAGGAGGCAGAAGCAGGAGGATCACTGTGAGTTTGAGACCAGCCTGGTCTACAAAGTGAGACCAGGACAGCCAAGGCTACACAGAGAAACCCTGTCTCAAAAAACAAACAAAACAAAACAAAAAAGGACGGACCAAGGCTGGAAGCCATGAGGTCATCAGAGCCATTCTCCAGCATCTGGCTCCCTTTTTGAGGACTGTCATGGTTCTACCTGTGAGGCTGCACCAGAAGAGCCACAACCTCCCTCATAGCTCTGTATAAGGAGCAGCACCACCACCGG